TATTCACTTGAATGTCGAAGGGTAGGGGGTGACCTGATATAAGTTTACAAAATTGTCAGAGACATGAATAGAATGGATTGTCTGTTTCCCAGGTAGGAGTGTCAATTATGATGGGGCATAGGTTTAAGGCAAAAGGTGGTAAGTTTAAAGGAGATGTGAAAGACAAGTTTTTTTACACAGGTGGTAAAATGCCTGGAATGCACTACCATAGGAGGTGGTGCAGACAGATACAACAGCAATGATGAAGAGGCATCTTGACAGATATATGAATAGGTAGAGAATAGAGGGGTATGGACTACATAGTGGCAAAAGGTTTCTGATTAGAAAGGCATCATGTGTCGGTGCAATCTTGGTGGACCGAAGGGCCTGTTCCTATGCTGTACTGCCCTTTGTTCTTTGTGCAAGGCACAAGTCAGGAGTATAATTGAATACTCTCAATTTGACTAAATGGGTACAGCTCCAATAATAGTCAAGAAGCTTGATACCATCTAGGACAAAGCAGCCTGCTTGATTGGCACCACATCCACAAGCATCCACTCCTTTCGCCTCCAAAACTTGTTAGCAGCAGTATGTACATCTACAAGATGCACTGCAGAATTCACCAAAGATCCTCAGACAGCACTTCCAAACCCATGACCACTTCCATTTAGAAGGATAACGGCAGCGGATACATAGAAACATTACTACCTGCAAGCCTTTGCCACTCACCATCCTGAATTGGAAATATATCACTGTTCCTTCACTATTGTTGAGCCTGAATCCTGGAATTGCCTTCCTAATGACATTTTGGATCTACCTAGGACATGGAGTGCAGCAGTTCAAAAACGCAGCTCACCATCACCTTCTCAAGGGCAACTAGGGATAGGCAATAGATGTTGGCCAGCCAGTGACATCCACATTCCATGAATGAATTTAAAAAAAATTCAAATTTTCCTCAATTCTGGTGAATGATCACACACAGTCATAGAGTCATACAGCACAGAAACAGACCCTTTGGTCCAATCCGTCCATGCTGAACATAATCCCAAACTAAACTAGTCCCACCTGCCTACTCTTGACCTAAATCCCTCCAAACCTTTCCTATTCATATATCCAGCCAAATGTCTTTTAAACATTGTAATTGTACCCGTATCCACCACTTCATCAGGAAGTTCATTCCACATGCGAACCACCTTCTGTGTAAAAAATCTGCCTCACGTCTTTTTTAAATCTCTCTCCTCTCACCTTAAAAACGTGCCCCCTAGTCTTGAAATTCCCAACCTAGGTAAAATGCAACGACCATTATCTCTATCTATACGTCTCATTATTTTATAAAATTATTTCAGGTCACTCTCAACCTCCTATGCTCCAGAGAAAAAAGTCCCAGGCTATCCAGTTTTTCTTCATAACTCAAACCTTCCAAAACCCAACAACAGCCTGGTAAATCTCTTTTGAACCCTCTCCACTTAATAATATCCTTCCTATAACTGGGCGTCCAGAACTGGACACAATATTCTAGAAGAGGCCTCACCAATGTCCTGTACAATCTCAACATGACTTCCCAACTCCTATACTCAAAGGACTGCACAATGAAGACAAGCGTCCAAATGCCTTCTTAACCACCCCGAATGTTAGTGATGCAAACTTCAAAGAAGTTATGTACCTGCACCCCTAGGTCCCGCTGTTCTACAAAACTACCCCCAAGGCCATACCATTAATTGTATAAGCCCTGCCCTTGTTTGTTGTATCAAAATGCAATGTCTTACATTTCTCCAGATTGAACTCCATTTGCCATTTTTCAGCCCATTGACCCATTTCATCAAGATCCCTTTGTAACCTTTGAAAACCTTCTTCACTGTCTACTATGCCACCAATTTTTGTGTTGTCCAAAAAACCTACTAACCATACCTTCTATATTCTCATCCAAATCATTTATATAAATGGCAAACAAGAGGACTCAGAACCAAACATTGTGGAACACCGCTGGTGACAGGCCTCCAGCCTAAAAAGCAATCCTCCACCACCACTCTCTGTCTCCTGCCTTTAAGCCAATTATGTATCCAACTGGCAAGCTCACTCTGAATCCCACATGACCTAACTTAACTAAATAGTTGACCATGCAGAACCTTGTCAAAGGCTTTACTAAAATCCACATAAACACTGACCACTGCTCTGCGATTATCAATCTTTTTGGTAACATCCTCAAAAAACTCAATCAAGTGAGACACGATTTTCCTTGCAAAAAACCATGCTGTCAATCCCTAATCAATTTTTGCCTCTCTAAATGTCCATAAATCCTATCTTTTATAATCACTTCCAACAATTTGCCCACAACCGAAGTCAGACTCTCAGATTTTATCGTTCCCCGGTTTCTCCTTATAAACTTTCTTAAACAAAGATACATTCGTCACCCTCCAGTCAACAGGCACCTCACCCGTAGTTATAGATGCTGCAAATATTTCTGCAATTTCCTCCCTCACTTCCCACGATGCTCTGGGATACATTAGATCAAGTCCCGGAGATTTATCCACTTTTATATTCACTAAGACGTCCTCAAATTTCTCTTCTGTAATGTGAGCTGTTTTTAAAACAGCAAAGTTTATTTCTCTGCATTCTCTAGACTCCAATTCTTTCTGCAAAATTTTCATTTAGTATCTCTCCCATCTGCTGGAGTTCAACACAAAGACAACTTCCTGATCTTTAAGAGGCCCCTGCCCTCTCTCTAGTTACCCTCTTGCTCTTAACGTATTGTTGAATCCATAACCTTATCTGCCAATGCTATCCCCTCTTTGCCTTCCTGATTTCTCTCTTAAGAATGCCCCTACACTTTTTATATTGAATAAGAGGTTCAGTTGAACCAAGTTGTCTACATCTAAAATAAGATTATATTTTATTCTTGACTAGAACCTCATTATTTTTATTCATCCATTGTTCCTTCATCTTACCAGCCTTACCCTTCACTCTAAAGGAACATAATGCCTCTGAACTCCCATCATCACACTCTTGAAAGCCTCCCATTTGTCAGACGTCCTTTTACCTGTGAACAGTTTTTCTCCAATCAACTTTTGAAAGTTCTTGTCTCATACCATTAAAATTTGCCTTAATCCAATTAAAAACTTTAATTTTTATGGAAGGCTTATTCTTTTCCATAACCATTTTGAAACTAATAGAATTATAATCGCTAGACCCAAAGTGTTCCCCCACTTTTACTTCAGTCATCTGTCCTGCCTTATTGCCCAAAAGAAGTTCTAGTTTTGCTCCTTCTGTAGTAGGAGCATTCACATTTTGATAAAGAAAATTTTATTGAGCACACTTGACAAATTCTACAAACCTTTAACACTATGGTAGTCCCTACCAATGTTTCAAAAATTAAAAACGCCATTATTATAACCTTATTATCCTCACATATATCTGAGATCTCCCTACATACTTGTTTCTCAATTTCCCTCTTACTATTGGGGTGTCTATAGTATAATCCCATCAAGGTGATCTTTCCTATTTCTAATTTCTACCCATATATTTTCACTGGACGATTTTTCAGAAATATCTCCTCTCGTTACAGTAGTAATGTATTCCTTAATCAAAAACGCCACCCCACCTTCCTTTCTTAACTCCTTTCCTGTCCTTTCTATTGCATCGAAAACCTGGAACATTGAGCTGCCAGTCTTGTCCATCTATCAGCCACGTTTCTGTACAGCTATGACATCCCAATTCTATGTTCTTAAACATGCCCTGAGTTCCTCAGCCTTACCTGTAAGAACCCTTGCATTGAAATAAATGAAATTTAGTTCTTCAGAGTTAATGCATACTTTGACTTTGTCCTGTCTTTCTTTCTAATTGACATCCTGTCTTCACTTTCAGAAACTTCCCCATCAATCTTTCTATTTACACTGCTACTTAGAATTCCTCCACTCCCTCTCTCTATCAGTATAAAGTTTCCCGTAATGCAAATCTCCCTGCTAAGATATTGGTCCCTTTCCAATTCAAGTTAGCCCCATCCTTTTTGACAAGGTCTTTTCAGTCCCAAAATTCATTCCAATTGTCCAAAAACCTGAATTCCTGAACAACACACCAACGCTTCAACCATTGATTTATCTCCTTTAACCTTTTGTTCCTTCCCTTGTTTCTGTTTGGCATTGAGAGTAAACCAGAGATTACTACTATTAAGATTCTATTTTTTAATCTTTTACCTAACCTCTTAAATTCACTCTGTACTGCTTTAATCTTTTCCCTAAAATTGTTATTTCTACCAATGTGTACAATAATTTCCGGCTCCTCAATCTTACCTTTAACAACATACTTGAAATGTTTGGAGATGTTCTTAATCCTAGCACCAGGAAAGCAACAAACCATCGTAAATTTATGCTCATTGCCACAGTATCTCCGGTCTACCCCTTGACAGCAGAGTCCCCCATAACAATAATTCTATTACATTTTGTCAAATACTGTCTAACATAACAATCATTCTAAGTGTCCAATAACTGACTACCCCTTCCATTTTCCTCGGAGAGACTATCCCCTTCAACAGTTCCAAAAACTAAACATGTATTTGATAGAGAATAGCCTCTGGAGACTTTTGAACTATCTTCTTACCTTGTTAATTCTGTTCCTTTTCATAAATGCTGCTCCGATGTTTCCAACATTTTGTGTTCTTATTACATTCTTGAATTACTTTCATAACATATCATGTGAGGAAATATTTGTTTAAAAATCTACAAATCCTCTCAACCATTCTACTCTCAATATCAAACAGGTCACTATTAATCCACTGATTTCCTGGGAAGTTAAAATATCTGTAACACAGTTATTTCCCATTTCAGTTATCTATGTAACTTGTACCTAGAATGCTTCATCTGGTGTTCATCCAAGTTTAGAAATAGGGCTGTGCTGATAAAAGTCTTCAGCTGCTAACCGAAAAATAAAAACTGTATGTGAATGAATTAAAAATATTCGCATTTGTATGTTAGATGTTAGAAATGGAGTTTTAGTTAGTAGGACAAAGTAACTTGCTTCAGTCATACCTTAGTCATGATTATAATTGTCAAGAAGTGCATCACAGCACTAATTATTACAGCCAACGAACTGGCATATTCATGTACAAAAGCCACTGATGTTTTTGTTAGTATAACATTCATCACAATTCGGAATATCACAATGCCAAGCGCGATACTGATTATAATGGCAATCTGTAAAATAACAGAAGAAAAATATACCTTTAAAATTGTCAAAGAAAGGTCAGAAACAGCAAGCAAAAGTCATTGTGAAAGATCCACAATACTAGCACAATGTACAGAGATAAAAACAGTTAGATAAGGACACCAAGCAATTACAAAATGGTAAATGAGGGTCACATCAAAGATATCCAACACTGATATCATCAGTCTTGGTTGGATAAAGGTGGAACTCCACAACACTTATACAGTCATGACAGGCAGAGGAATAATGGAAAATGCAGTAAATAAATATACTACTAAAATAGTTAACAGTTTCACAAAATAAAGATGGACAGGGACATACAACATTGTCATAGTGCGTTATATTAAAAACACCGGCAGATATGTAGGCTTAGAAATGCGAACAGATTGTGCTATGTTTCAGGTGCTAAACTGAGGCATAAGCCTCCAAGGTGATAGGTAGATAATACGTTCAATTCAAATTGTTAGTCTGTCACTCACAATATTAGATCGGGCTGCTCCATAGGTGCCCTGAGTGCATATCAGAACCATTTAAAACATGAACTTGTGAATAAAGGTCCTGCACAACTGTGATTTTAGTATGAACTCGCCCAATTCATCATATGCTAAACTTGTCTAACATTTTGAGGCATGAACCATAATCATTTGACATCTCCAACAATGCTCCTGCTGCCTGTCCCAGAGAAATTACAAGTATGGCTTTGAGTGGATATTCAGCAGCTATATATGCTCCAGATTCATCAGCATGAAAGATCAGCCCTTACAATACTCAATATACCTACCATTTCCTAGTATATTTTAAACAGCCTTCTTCTGAACCTTGCACTCTTGTGCACCTGTATTCAACTGCAACAGCGCTGGTGCATTTTCTCACTCATTAGCAAGCTGGTATCTGTAGCATCCTATCACTCTGCCCAGCTCCCTCAAATTGATGCCTTGACATAAAGGTGGATACCAACTGGGGGAGGGTGCGGATTGGTACCGCAATGGACAAGTGGAACCCCAACATCACAAAAGTGGTAACTCCCATCCATCCTTTTTTTAGATTGAGCTGTAAAATTTGCAGGTTGCATGCTCTCGTATTGCTTCCTGCAGCCAACTTAAGTACCTCAATAAGCATAACATCAGTGGGTGGCTGCCTGACATCTTACCTGGCAGCTTTGAGGAGAAGGAAGGTGATGGACTGGCCACCTGTGGGGTCCCGTAAGATTTATCCTGTGGTGTTAGTATCTGAAACATGCTTGTCAGGGTTACTTAAAGTGTCACTGCATCATTAGGAAGTGGCCTCTTCTTCAAATGTCAGAACTCCGTTCATATCTTCCACAGCTGGAGTGAAAGATGAAAGGCTCTGTCTTTTTCACCAGTAGTCTTCCGACTGGAGTTGTAGTCACCCTTCTCCTACCAGAAGGCAATGTACTGGTGAAAATGTCAAATGTCATGCGTTAATAGCTCTTATATAGTATAAGCACATGTGCATCGTGTGGAAACGAGTGTTGCAAAAGTGATAAGTGTGTGAAGTTGACGAATAAAAGGTGCAAAGAAGTGGTGGTGCACTGATTGTAGGAGAGTAAAGAGAAGCAAGAGAGCAAAATATTTTTAGTTGTGAGGTTACAGTAGTCAGAGGCGCAAGGAGAGAGTAAGGGAATTATAATAGGCCAGATCTATTAAGTGTGAAATTGTCAACATACATTGCCAATACAATTTTGAAACTGACAGGAACTTCTGATGTCCTCAAATATGCAGTTAAATTCAGAAATCCAAAAGTCACTGGCAGTAATTTCTTGTTCCTCCATAGCAAGCACTGTTCATGCCCCACACTTAGCAATGTTCAAGAAAGCAAAATTGATGTGAACTCACCCTTTTAAACTATAACATTGCTGCTAAAGTACAATGAAAAGGTTATAAAAATAAAATACTGCAGATGCTTAAAGTCTAAAATAAAAATAAAAAGTGCCAGAAGTAGTTGAAAGGTAGCACCATTTGAGAAACAAAGTCAACATTTTAGTTCAGTGAGAAGTTAGAAATGCAATAGATTTTAAGCAAGTGAAATGACAGTGGGTGGAGGAAAGAATAAAAGAGAAGTTCTGAGACAGGGTGGATGACAGGAGAGTTTAAATGAGAAAAAGGTTTGTCAAGCAAGGCCAAAGAGGGTGGTAATGGTACAGATAAAGCAACAAAATTGTTTATAAAGAGGAGTGAATGGAAGAATAATGAACAGTTGCATTCTGAAAGCAAAAACAAGAGAAAAATAAGTTAATGCCAAAACATTGTTATTGTGTCAAAATTGTTTAACTCGGTGTTAGGTGCTGAAGACTGGGAGGTGTGTAACCAGAGGTGAACTATTCTTTGCGTTTGCAAAGGGGTTCAATTTGTTAAGATCCCAGCTGATATTACTACTGGGTAAGTGATATCCCAGAATAAAATCTGGCCCGATAGATCATATTTAGGTTCTTTTAAAGTTAAACATAGGAATCTTTAATTGTAACATGAAGTCATAGGCTGAAGACTAAATAAAAACCGAAAGAACTGCGGATGCTGTAAATCAGGAGCAAAAACAAAGTTGCCGGAAAACTCAGCAGGTCTGGCAGCAGCTGTGAAGGGAAAAACAGAGTTAATATTTTGGGTCCGGCGTGAAAGGGTGCTGAGGAAGGGTCACCGGACCCAAAACGTTAACTCTTTTTTTCTTCACAGATGCTGCCAGACCTGCTGAGCTTTTCCAGCAACTTTGCTTTTGTTCCTGATAGGTTGAAGATTTGTTTTTAACAATAAAACAAATTTATTACATAAAATAAAGAAAAGAAGAAACTAAATTAAGCTATCTAAATGTAACAGTTTGAAAGATTTGAAAGCGCAAGTCAAAACAAAATCCCATCTATTCCCCAACGCCATCACTTTTGTAGATATTAACCTAAAACTTTCTTGGTTGGCAAAGATGAAGTAAAATGCAATTCAATAAAATGCGGAGGAATTATATGAAGCCTGGTGATGACCAAATGATCAGAAAGGTCACTGGTTTTACTGTCTTTCTGTGTTCAACTGAAGTAATATGTATATATTTATATCAAGCTTTGTAACTCAGTAATAATGAACTGAACTGTTACAGAAACTTTGGAAAAGCTGAAATTTTATCTAAAACAAACACAGTAAATCATATGTAATAATGTGGTCTATTCATTGGCTGAATTTGTGATTGTCATGCAAATATACTGTGTGGATGCATACAGATTTTTGGGTAACATGAAGGAAGGGAAAGCTAAAGCTGATAAGCCTCTTTTCAAGGAGACACAAGCAAGTCCTAATGAGTCAACTGATGAAACCAACATGAAAGATATGACATATTTGTGATGTCTGCCAGTAGTTAATTTGATCATTTGCTGTAGACTGGACAGTGTAAACATTGAACACACAGCTTCTTTGTATGGAAGAGTACTAAAAAAACTTGCCTCATAGCAAAATTACTAGTTCAGGGAATAGAGATCATTTGATCAATAGCTAGACGTTAGATTCTGGTCTGATCTTCAGGCAAGTCCACAAAAACGGTTCACTTGTGATTGTAAGCATTGAATGCAGTATTTTTTTGTTGTCTACTTTGTTTTAATAAAGAACATTGGATACATTTCCATTGTTAGAACTGCCTTGGGTCATTACTATCCAGAGTAAACTCAAATGGACTAGGGAAAGTGGAATAAAAGCTTTACAGTTAATTAAAATCCTGGTAATTTCCCTCTCCTTCTCTTTCCAATGTGTAGGTTTGACATATCTGCTTCTTCCCAATTCTAGACCAGTGAGCTGTGAATCCTTTTCGTTGAATATTCATACAACTGACAGCTTAGACTTTCTCAGTTATTTTGTATTTTGCAAGGTTCCAACCAAACACTCCTGGTCTGGAAGTTTCACAAACTACATTCTTTCACTAATGTAACTTACTTTGTTAACTTGTCTGAACAAAATCCCTTATCTAGAATAGACTATACTTGATTCTGACTTTAATCAGGTTTCCTTCAAACTGCATCCAAAAGTTTTTGTTTAAAAAGTACTCATCATAAGTTTTCTCTCCCTGGTCATAAATGCTCACAGTATAAACAAACTTCCAATGAACACTTTATGAGGAAAATACTGGTTTTAACCGGTTTCAGAAAGAATTGTAAAATTTTAATACACTTCACAAAAATAGATCAACACCCATATACCGCTAGTTTAAAATCCAATTAAAATATACGAATCACACACCTTTCATCACAACTGAAGCACTGCAGGAGACTAAGGTTAGACAGGACTGCATGAGAGAAAAATAACAGTTGCACCTGTTAACTGAACGGTGTTATTTTTAAATTCTTTTATGGAATACAAATGTTACTGGTAAGGGCAGCATTTGTTGTCTATCCTAGCTGTCATTAAACTGAGTAGCTTGCTAATCCAGTTGAGAGGGAAGAAGCTATTTAAATTTTGTAAGCTGCTATGGTCAAATTTGAACCAATGCCCTCAATGCATCAGTTTGAGCCTCTAGATTAGGAATCCAACGCTTTTACAACTATTTCACATTTCTCCATGTACTACAAAGCAGATACAGCCTTCACATTCTTTCCAAAGGGTAGTGCCCAGAAATGGACTCCATACTCTAGTTGAGGCCAAACAAGGATTTTAGTTCTTTACTTGAGCATACTAAAGAGCATAAAAATCACGCTAATAAAAATTGCTGATGATATGAAAGTAGAAAATAGTGAAGAAAACTAGAAAAAACCTTTAGAAGACACAAGCCAACAACTGGTTGGACAGTAGATAAAATGTATTGTGGATGAGTATACTTTGTGAGAAAAACTTTGAATACTGTCAGTGGAAAATATGTAGATGATATTAAATTCTGAATATTTTGTTATTATGTGAGGACTTAGGTTCTAAGGTGTAGGAAAATGGATTTGAGTTTTTCAGTTCTGTGGAGATCTGGCCTGGTTTTGCTAAATATCAGAAAGTCATTTTAAATACTGAGATCA